ACTCCAATTGGATTGCAGTTCCTCTAGCGCTTTTGCTTTGTTAGCAAAGGTCATTTGGCCACCTAACAAGCCCAATTTAATTCATTTAACGGCATACAGCGATATATACAAAAAAAATATCAATTGCTAATTTATGTTTATTGTGCATTATTTGTACTAGACAATAGTTCCAATGCAGTGTTCCAATCCGAAGTTCCCTTTGGCAATGCGAAATTGAATTTTTATGCACTTTATAGCAACTWTATATCTATATATAGATATACATAGATTTTTTAATGTTTTTTTAGTTGGCCCACTGATTGAAATTTATGAATCCTTAACTTTATTTTTTGCCGTCGTTTTTTTCTGCATTTATTTATTATTATTATTTGTGCGTTTTTTGTTTGTTATTTATTTTTATGTTTATTTTATGTGGACTTCGCGTGTAACTCACATTAAGTTTTATATTTATTCGAGTTTTTTTTATAGTAAATAATAATAATATTTTTTTATAGACTTTATTTATGTTTATGTTTTCATTAAGCTAGGTCAGTTGAATTCTTGAGTCTTTTTGAAGATTCTCTTGTTTTTCTCAGCCAGCCAAAGCAGAGACTCCCATTTTGGTAAAGCCAGATATTTACAATAATTTTATTTCGTTACTTAAGCAAATCTATATATATAAAAGAAAGTTGTGTAAAAGTGAAGACTGCTTATAACTTGATTTGGGCTGAACCAATTTTCATGGTTTTTGATTTGTTGGATTTGTCTCCGCAACGAGTTTAGTATAGGGTCTTAAAAATACTGAAAAAATTTGCCGAATACTTGAAAAACGCGGTTTTTTCCCCAAATGTTCAAATTTTTTTTATNCTGATGAGCAATGTGATTCACGCGTTGATACTCAAAGGAAAATTTAAAGATGAGGAAGTTCTTATTCCTAGGATTCCGATGAGCTCAACAGATATGCCCTTTGAATTTAAACGAATTCAATTCCCGCTTCGTCTTGCCTTCGCCATGACGATCAACAAGTCACAGGGCCAATCTTTGACTATTTGTGGCCTCAATCTAGAAAATGCGTGTTTTTCTCATGGTCAATTGTACGTGGCATGCTCACGTGTTGGCAAACGATCCGCATTATTTGTTCTTGCACCCGACCAAAAAACGAAGAATGTCGTTTACAACAAGGTGCTTGAATGAAAATCCGATTAATAAATTTATCAGTGTATCCCAGCCTGAACAACATAGCTTTCAACAATTTTTTACCTAGAAATAATATAGAGGGCAATGCAACGTTTGCCGGGCCAGCTAGTAATTATATAAATTAAACAGAAAAACACGCTTTAACACGTTAGTAAACCAGTGAATAAATTTATGCAAGCTGCTCATAATTTGCCCAGCAAAGAAAAAGTCTTTAATGAGCCGCCACGGCTCTGGTTTGAGCGCCCGGCAAGTTTTAGCCTTTTATGGCCACATTTTAGCCTTTTTTGCGTTTTTTTATGCAAATTCAAATACAATAAATTTGTTGTCAATGCCTAACAAATGCGACTGTCAAGTGCAACATGCTCCATTGTGAACTTAATGTGAGCATTGTGAACCATTTTCGTGGCATCATAAGTTTGCCTGTTTTTTTTTTTTTCCTCTCCCGCATTGAAGCTGAACTTTGTCATTTGCCCGAGAGCCTGGAAAATCAAGTCACTGTTAAATAAAAGAAGAGAGACAAGAAATAGGAAAAGCAACAGGAAAACACACAATTGAACACTATCAATCGATGCGCTTTGATTGACTGCCGGCAAGTCGGCAATAAATTGTAGTACACTTTTTATGCTCTTCTAATAGTTGTTTTGCAATAAATTTATAGAGTATTTGTTTAGTTGATATATCGTGATTACAATATGATTTACTGCATATTTGTTTGAGCAGGGTTCGGTAGATTTTTAACTGAACTCAGGATAAGACACAAAACGAAAGTTAAGTAGATGAAAAAGCCAAAGTTTACTTATTTTCACAGTGGAGAATAAATGAAAATAAAACAATTGAAATAAATAAACGAAAACAAAAGCGAAAAGAAGAAAATACCAAGACTACAAAAAATATGTATTATAAAAATCTAGAGAGGATGAGAGAGAGAGAAAAAGTACGAAACAGTTAAACCGTTAAACTAATGTAAAGAACTTTCTAACGAATAGAAATATGCCACAAGAATAACTGAATAAAAGCCGAAATCAAGCAAATTCCAAATTTGACCAAATATTTTCAGCCAAGTTAGTGTATCTTCTATTTCTATGTTATGCAAATGGATGTCTATACCCCCTGGGGTAGAATTTCGCGCATAATGTCACATGTCAAATAATTCCGCCTTTAAAGTTTTGCCGCTAACCGTAAAACAAAACATGAATGCAATTTGCATTCGGCGCCGCAGCTTCTGCCGCAATTGAAACGACGTGTGGGGCATGTGCTACAGATGTGTGGAGAGGGATGCTATAGATGTACATGTATATAGCTTGATATTGGCACATGTTTTGCTATGCAATTTTAGCGGAGCTTCTGCAGCTGCCTTTGATTGATTTGTTTTGCCAAGTGACGCACAACATGTCAAGATAGCTGCTGATTGGAATGGTATGGAATTGGAATAGGAATGGGAATGGGTAAGGGAATTGGTATGGGAATTGGTATGGGTATGGGAATGGGAATGGGCTTGATGTGTGGCGTCTCAAGTGGCCCAAGGTCTACGGAGTGAAAATATTTTTCGCACTAAACGCGCTGACACATTTTAATAGGCAGCTGCTTTGCATTTGCTTTGCATAAATTTATTTACATATGTTGATTAGGGCTGCATGGCGTCGTACCGAAACTAAGCCAAAGCATACATTTGGTATCCATTACGGATGCTGTGCGAGGGGCAGATCTGTCAATCAGAAAATCAAATGAAAAACATAACTCAGCGAGAAGTCGCCCTCAGCTTTTGATAGATGACAATGCGGAGTAGAAACAGAAGAAGAGGAAGAGGCAGAAGAAGAAGAAGAAGGCATGAAAATATGTTTCTTTTTTTTTTTTTTTGGGAAAGTGTTTTTGTTTTGGTTTTATTTTTTCTGGGTTCTGTGTGAAAGTTGAGGCCAGACAAAAGTAGAAGCAAAGAAAGTTGCCTGATAATTGGCCAAAGGTCGTGAATCTCTCGAAGACTCTTGCTAGATTATGCAACACGCTTCAGTTCCATTCAAATCTCTTCAACATTCTAGACAAAAAACCAAACAAAGTGAAAGCTAACATCAGTAGAAGAAGAAGAGGAAGAAAAAACTTTAACAATTTTGTGTACTCATCCTAATGCACTTTCAATTTCGAAAAAAAAAAAACAACTTACAAATATTTTGTTGCGGGTGGAAAATTTTCTAATTTCCAAATAGACAAATTTCCAGCTGGGAAGCCTACAGAGAGATGAAATGAGAGGGGAAGGGGGAGAGGCTGTCGGAGAGAGATCTTTATCAGCTCAAGCTTAAGCTTTGGGCTCTCCAGAGAGATTGTAGACTCGCGAGCTTATTACAAATTCTAATCGCATTTCATTTCGCTTACACTCACACATATGTGTACACACATACAAGGTTTCTTTGTGTGGCTCGTACATTGGCCTGGTGTCGAGTCGATGAGGCTGTCGCTTATCGATTAATCACCAAATTAAAAATTACTAAGCCCAAAGCGTGGAGCGTGGCCGAAGACAACGTAATCCCCCCGCTCCTACACACTCCCGGATGCCCAGAGCACCCATCGCACTGCTCTTTATCGTCTCCCTCTTGTTATTATTATTATTATTATTATTTTTTTTTTGGCAACCCAATTTAAACAATAACTTGGACTCCATAGTAAAAACCGCACTAATTTCGATTCGCATTTAGCCCTGTTTCGCAGTTTAAATTGGCTATTGTTTCCGCAGAAATTCCTAGGTTCCCTTTGTTTCAAATGTCAACACTCATCTAGTATTATTTACGATAATGGCGATGAAATTCCAAGGAAATAGCAAACAAACTAATTGAACCATGTGTTACATCAGGCCCAGCGCCCAGCGCGATAGGATGTATAGTATATACATTTATATAAATATATAACAAAAGTCGTAAATTCATTTAGCATGAGCAAAGGGAAATCGAATATATGCAAATATTGTGGAACAAATAAAGAATATTTCCCCGCCTCCCTACAAAAAATAATGCTCATAAATAACACTTTGAAGCGCCGCCTGGCGGCCAATTAAGGCACACTGCAAGCGGGTACAAAGTTCAATTTGATATCAATCGGCGTTCGGCATTTTCATTGGGCAAATTAATTTAATGCTCAGTAAGAGATTTTCCAATGCTTATCACAAATTTGTCATCAGCTCGTTGTAATGCGATCACACACGCACACACACTTAGAAGACAGAAAACACACACGTATGGGAAGTTTAAGCTGGAGTTGGAGAGCACACATGCGGCTGCCGCTACTCATAATGAAGTTGAGCGTGGCTTGCAGATAATGATCGAACAGACCACGCGACGCGACGCCAAGACACACTCACACACACACACGCACACAGATACAGAGGCACACAGGAAAGAATTGCAAGCGCCGACCACTCGCTCTCCCTCTTTCGGACGCTCGCTCAGCTCAGCCGACTCGGCTGCGCTCCAGCTGCTTGTCAAACAAGTTGCGTGCGAAGTCGGCTGCGCAGACGTATCGTATCGGCCGGCGCAGTCAGTTTACTTTTGGCGCTCGTCGCGTACACAACGTTAAGCGGGCACAATCGGTAGGCGGTAGGCAACGTAGGTGTAAACTTGACTTTGACTCTCACGCTCTCCCACACCGTAAAGTGCGATCGTATGTGTGTGTGTGTGTGTGTGTGTGCAGCTCATTCGAATGCTCGCTCGTTCACTTGCAAAGGCTGACCGTGAAGTTTGTTCTTTTTGCATGTTTATAAGCTGAGTAACTGTAACTGTGCTTTGTTGTTTGTGCTTTGACTTGTATTTATTTATTTTTTTTTTGCTTTGCGCTTTGTTATTGCCGCTCTGCAGTCTCCGCCAAGTTCATTCACGTTCATTCACGTTTCATCACCGCTGGCCGTCTAATTAAATGTAATGCAACGCAAATATCGAAATCGAGTTTAAAGCTAATTGCAAATTTAACAACATTATTGCTTGCTGCTTGTTGTTGTATCTTCGCTTTTTTTTTGGCATTTCGAGTTCATATCCATATTCATATTCGTATCCATTTCCGTTTAGCTTTGCTGTGCATTCGAGCGCAACAGTTAATTGCATTCATTTATCGTTGATGCAAATAATTTAAAACATTTGAAATTAACTCTTGATGATTGCCTTTGAAGAAAGTGAAATCTCTTTCTCTCTCGCTACGAAAAAAAAAAAACAAATCAAAAACACAAATGGATAATGCTATAATTATGTTAATTTTAATAACAGTTAAGTGTTAACACAGTTTATTCGGTAACAAAGAGAAATAATCATAATAATACTGAAATATATGTATATATAAAAACAAACCCAAAAAGTGCAAACAAAACGCAAACTGTTTAAATATTTTCTCACAAAAGCTACACAAATACAAAATACAAAAATAAATAAATAAATAAATAATGTGTGCGAAATTTATGCAAAAACGAGAGCCCCAAACACTAAGCAAGAGCTCCTAGAAAGGTATGTAAAGCCAGCCAAAAGTAGACAAAATATTTAATGAAAGTGATCTACATAAGTGAAATAAATACATATTTAAAATAATTGAAGATTCTAAATAGAGAGTGGCTTAAAAAGAAAATACTTAGAATCAATTCAAAACTATTTCAAGCCAAATTATTACTATTATGTATATATATTAAACAAAATTTGTAGTCAGAGTATTGCAAATTGCAGAATCTATAGTTTCTGAAAGGTAGAAAAATTGTACAGCTTTTATAGAACCAATAACCTTAGCTAAGAAATCTTATGTATTTAAAATTTGATTTCTAAGATTTCACTTGCATTTACATTTCAAACAACATTTCCTTATTCCTCTCTAGATTGTCTTTAATCACATTTCTATAAGCTGCTCTGCTCTGCTCTGCCTGAACTTTAAGTGAAAGCTCTTTCAGCTGAGCAACATATTGTTCGGCTTCCTTTAATGATGTTAAATTGAGACAAGTGGAGCGTTCCTTTTATTTTCATATACATATGTATAGTTGTTGCATTAATTTGTTGTCTTTTCATTGTTGTTCCACTGACTTCCTCTCTGGCATTTCCTTAATCTTTAGCCCACTTTGTGATTCCCTCTCTCTATCTCTCTCTCTCTCTCTCTCTGTCTCGCTGTCTGTCTGCATAGTCACACTTAGCAACCTTTCACACTAAACTTGCCTTGTCATTGGATTGTGGGGGCAACTCTGGCCGACATCATTTGTGACACATTTTCATAGAGACAACACTGCTCGCGTGTTCTTCAGAGACAAAGAGTTCGCATTTGTATGCCATTGGCAAATATTTGCTGGCCAAAATGTTAAAATGCCAAAATGCTGAACTACTTTCGAAAGGGAATTAACATACATACATATATTGTGGTGTTAAGGCTGCCCCAGCCCCTCGATTGGCCACAAGTTCTCTTTGTTGTTGTTTTGATTTTTGCTGTCGTCAAATGCAGTGGCAACAATACAATAAACCGCACCATAAACATTTACCTACTTAACTTAGCCAGCCGTCCCGCTGACAGTCGCTCGACTTGCGTTTGCTTTCATTCAAATATTTGCATTCAAGCATGCACAAACTGTTCACAAGTGGGCGTGGCCAAGAGGGCGATGCGCTTTGCGTTTTATATGTGCAACTCCAGCTGTCCAAAAAAATGAGTCTAAAACAAATATTGCTATAGACTGCGTGATACCCTGTTTGTTAAATAATAAAGATCTTCAGAGCTAAGCAAAATTTAAAACTGAACATTAAAAGTGTAATAGAATAAACTTTTGCCTTTTTAAAAATAATTTATAAATTTATATAAAAAAATTTTGTGTTTTTTAAATTGTAGAATTTTCAATTAATGAAGTGATATAGAAGAATGTTCATATTTATTTAATTATTATTTTTTTTTTTTTTTTTTAATAATTTTTTAAATAATATAATAAATAGCAAAATAAATATTAAGCTTGAAACGAGTTTAGATTTAGTTCTTATACTCAGAAGTATAACGAATGAATAAATTATTGAATTATTAATAAATTAATATTTTACAAGATTTTTATATTATATTATACAAGATTTAGTTAAGGAAATTCTAATCAAGCTCAATGTCTCTAGCGGCAATTTTCTTTGTTATATTTTTCACGCAATCCGTTAGCAATCTGTCTATGTGAAGTATAAAAAATAAATTAATTTCGAAAAAGAGGCCGCGGCTGCAAAATAGTTGAAATTCGCTCGAAAGCTAAACATTTTTTTATGATTCGCCTTATTTGTTTTTGTTGCTGATTTTATTTTTATGTATCTATATAGATACATATACATATACAAACATACGCCTTATATGTTTGTCCGTTTGTAATTTTTCGCGTTTGTGACAAGAATTTGCAAATGTCAACGAAAATTGCGCGCTTCACATTAAATAAACGAAAAAAAGACAAAAGCGAAGAATTCGACAAAAAGGGCCGAAGTGGAGCTCAGTGCATGGAGAGGTAGAGATAAGAGTGGAAATACCAATGCCCCAAAACGCGAACCAATTGAAATTGTTTTATAAGTCCAACTTTTTTTACTTTATTGCGTTCGCTTTTGGTTTAATTTAATTTTTTTTTTTTTTAATTTTTATTTTGGGGCATTTTGTGTTTGGCATTTTTAAAGAGCTTTGCGACATCAGGATCGTAACGCAGCGTAACGGATCCGATCGTATCGGTATTACATCAAAGTGAAAACGATCATTCAGTTAATGAGTAAATATGTGAAAACTTTGCCCAGAGCTAAACTTTAATAATTTGCGAACATGCGCAAAAAATTTGACTCTTTGTATGCTCGCAGCTTCGTATTATCCAGTAAACGTGTTATTATTCCCATAATTTGATAATGCTTAACAGCATAAAAGAAAAACAGTATAACAGTATAATAGTATAACAGTATAACAGTATAGCAGTACAAGTCTATAAATGTATAAGAGTAGAACAGTAAAACCGAATTGCATAAAAACAGGAAACAGAATATCAGTAGAACGGTAAACTGGTATAAGAGTTTATATATCAATACTAAGATAAAATAGAATCAGTTTTAGTGTAGTATAGACTTATTTTTAAAAGGAATATTAATATATAGAACAGATTGCTTTCTTTTATAATGCTTATATAGTAAGTGTAAATATTTCTGTATATTTGAATGGGTCTGTCGTAATGCGAAACATTTAATACAATATAACAACTTGGGCAATATAACAGTATGACAGTCGCTGTGCAAAAAAACACAGTCAAACGTGACAATTTGTTAACAATTTCGTTATATGTAACGATTTGTGTAATACCTTATCGAAGTATTTATGTAAATTTCATTAAAAAAAAAAAAAAAAAAAAAAAAAAAAAAAAAAAAAAAACAATATTAGAAAGAGAAAAACAACCTTTGTTTCTTACGAATATATACAGAAAACAAGNACAAAATCAATTTTTCGATTATTCTCGATAAAAAAGTTATCGGACGATTTATCGAAAAAATAAAGCAAACTCGTACTGCGTATGGTACACACGAGTATGCATGCCAAATTTCAGCTCTCTAGCTCTTATAACTTCTGAGATCGACGCACTCATACGGACGGACGGACGGACGGACGGACGGACGGACGGACGGACGGACGGACAGACGGACAGGGCTATATCGACTCAGCTCGTCACGCTGATCAAGAATATATATACTTTGTGGGGTCTGCCACGCCTCCTTCTGCCCGTTACATACTTTTTCACAAAACCATTATACCCTGATTTCCCATTTTCAATGGGTTCAGGGTATAAAAAAAAAACAAAAAAAGTGCTAAATTGATAAAAGGCATTCCGTTTGTATTTCTTTATAAAGTCTTTACAAAACATTTTCACCGTTTGCTTTGTTAATGAAATTTGCGCTTGGCAAAAAGAAGAAGCAAAGGTAATCGACTTGAATGTCACCTGCTTGTTAGTAGCATTTGGCAGGTGTAATTAGAGTAATACCTTTATAATATTATTGCTGTTCAAGTGTGAAATGCGAATGAATGAAAAAGAGAAATGTTAATATTATTATTTATAGAGTCTGATTGTAGCAATTTGTTTTTAGCCAATGATGCATCAGAACACTCCAAGTAGGCTTCATTACTATTTACGTCCGCTGAATACAATTGAATGCTTTGATTACCTGATTGCCCTTGTCGCTGTAGAAGGTGCCACAATTTATATTGATAGTGCTCGATTTATTAGATACTTGCGCTGATAGCCAGGAAGGTGATGGAAACATTTGCTTGATGTCATCAACGAAACGAATGAGTTTTGATTTTTCTTTCTTTCTCCTCTATTATTATTTTGCTTTTTGTGTAAGTGTGTGTGTGTGTGTGTGTGTGAAGTGTGTGTGTGTGTGTGTGAACGGAGGTTTCTCTTCAACTAATTAGACCATAAAGCAGCCGACCTGGCTGGCCGAACTAATTCGCTTCAGATAAACCACAACAAAGGTCACGCTTTAATTGATAAGAAAACACAATGCCGTCTGTCTTTGGGAAAAATATTAAATCGCTTTTCCAAGCCGAAATGCCGGCTACTGTAGCCTAGCGAGTCACTCAAATGGAAATCCTCAGGGGCAACAATGACAGCGCGAGAGAACCCCAACAAGAACCGAACTGAACCCAAAATGAACTTGAAGTGCCAGCTGTGCCTCGATAAAGATCACAGCCCGCGTCACAGTCACAGGTGGAAGTGCCTACAACGATCTTCGAATGGTAGAAACACAAAAAAAATGAGAATCATGCCGCAATTGAGTGCACTTTTCATGCATGTACAATATATAGAGCAGGACTGCTAGATGCCCTGTAAAAAATAGCAAAGCGAACGAATTGAATTTCTCTAGAATCTGTTTATTCGAATATTCATTTCTTAATTGAGACAATTTTACAGATTTTAAAGTCAAAGAACACACATTATAATTATTTAAGATACATTCTATTTATTATATAAGACTGCCTCTCTGTCTTTCTCTTTAAAGTCTAGCACTAATTTGTTTCTTGACTTCCATTGAAAGGTTTGCCTGCGCTCTTTCGCATATAATTAGCATGCCTTTAGCTGCATTCTGATTACGGGGTATTCGCAGCAAAACTTTTAATAGTTTTGAACCTTTTTCGAGTCACTTAAATTGCGCAGCGAAGCGTGCTCTCTTCAACTCATCCTCCACTCTCCTCTGCATCCTCACTCCCTCTCTCTCTCTCTTAACACTCAGCTGCCAGGTACGCCCTTTTTCAACACTGCTCTAAAGAAGTAAGATTAAGAATGGGAATGAGAATAAGAATGGGGGAATGGGGCAATGGGGG